CACCCCTCCCTCATATGATTTTCACATTTCAGATCATCTTTTTCAGGGTGATATTATTTTCACGAGTTACTGTTTTCCTCTGAAGTGGAAAAGGTCCAAATTTGTCATATAAAAACCAAACACATTGACCATTTTTACAAAAGTCTCAAAAAGAAGGAAAAGAACATAAGCATTGCTCTTACTGTTAATTTTGTCTGCCTTTTGATTTCATATGTGTTCTCCATTTCCAAATGAAACACCTTAAAATGCACATTGGAGCAACTTTGCATCAATATTACAGCATGAAAAAAACTATCCAAAATGAGAAAATTCAGAAGTTGTGTATAAAGAAACATGAATACTCAGAATAAGAAATATGGGCAGGATGCAAGCAAATCCCTCTTCATTTATAATCATGACTTTGATACCACTAAGAAGTCCCTAAAAACGATTTCCTCTTTCCAGCTCTGGGTCAGAATCCATTTAGAAAATATATTTTGAGGAATTTCAGGCTTTTTCAATATTTCAGGAAAGGCCAAGTGTCCTAACAAAATGCCCACAAGAAGGACAAAGAGGACAAAGAAATACTTCAGATATGTCATTCTTGTTGTTATATAGCCAATCTTCATCCAAAAGTCCTAACTATCTGCCAGAATCTGACTTTACTGCATAATTTCACATAAGAATTATGAATGAGCTTTTATCCTTCAGGAGTGCTGAAAAAAAACTTGAAAATAGACAAGCAGAAAGTTTTACATTTAGAAAACAAATTAAAAGAAAACAATTGCAATATATCTCAATAGATTTGAATGAAATTCATGAGTTTTTAATGGGGTAACACAACTGATATCAATGAAGTTGAAGAAATAGTTATAGACTATTTGCATAAATAGATAGTGGAGTGTTCAGAGACCTGAATTCTAATTCCGAACCCAGTAATGATGTGTACATTTTGTATCAGCCATTTCACCTCTGGCTGTCTCAGTTATCTCCTGTGAAAAATTAGATAATAATACTTACCCATCTTAGCGAACAGTTTTGATATCCACAGAGAAAAGAGCTATAAAATTTCAAATTATTTTAACTAATTAGCAATCATTTATCTTCTAAAAATTAAGACTATCATAGTTTTCATTATAAATTAATTCCTATCTGGAAAATGCTTTAGGCTGAAAGAGGATATGAACATTTCCACTTGTGTTGATATCTGGGTTCTAGTTAAAGAAAGATACTGCAATGTCCTCTGTGCACATTTTTGCGATGGCATTCAGTACTGTGCCAAAGCAAATTCTGAATTTAAGGACTCAGAAGAGGCTTAAGGGGATAACTTTGGCTGCGGATTCTGGGTTTCATTAATTGGCTGATCCTGAAAACTCTTGTGCAGGCTCACCATGACAAAGGCATGCATCTCCCTGAATGTTGATTTTATTTTCCTGGAGGAAGTTGGCAAGGCTTTTTTTGCAGCAGATTTCCTAAATCAGAAGGATTTAAGCCTTTTGATACTGAAAACTGAGACACTGATAAGTAGAATTGGTGTGACAAGTCTAGTGAGAAAAAAAAAGTCAGCAATCATAATTTTTCTGCTAATGACTGACCAGGGCAGTAAATTTTCCTCCAAGTCCTAGTAAATCAAGACACTGACTTGAACTGATCCACATCAATTTCATAATTTCCAAGAACTCAGGAGCTCATTCCAAGTCAGAACTGAATTCAAATTTTCCTTGTTTCAGAGGACAGTGCTACAAGCTGGGAATTTCTTTCTTTCAAATTGCCTTTTTCTTAGCTATGTTCTCAAAAGGCACAGAATGGAGAAAATGTGTTCATTCAGGTGTGTAACTTCAGTTATTTCAAAACTGAAATATTTGTCAATTTTGGTGCCCCACAGAATCTTTATCTATGGAAGGCTCTCAAAAATTCTCAGTAAATTTGGATATTAAGTGATTTCTCATCTCAGACATATTGTCTCATTTATTCAAAATACAGCATAATTAAATCAAATGAGTGTTTATTTGCTAACACATAAACAAATTCAGCGAGATGACACCACTTCCTTTCTATTTTGTCATCCTACACTTTTCTTCTTTCCAGAAAAAAGATGTTTAAATGTGTAAGCCTCATAAATGCAGTTCTTGCCTTCATAAACACTGTGACTGACACTTCAACTGCATTAAATACAGGAAATTAAATAATGACCAAAATGCAGCCTACAGTTTTACTTTAGAGAACAGAACATATCTACCAGTTATTTTAAGCTGTCTCTTCCCCACCATTAACTGTTTTTAATGTTTTTAAGCACATATTAAGTGTGCTTAAATGACATCACCTATCAGCTTTTACATCCACAGAAGAGTGATCATCAGTTCGGACCACGAATTCAGTTTATGTAGAAATAGAGAACTATTACTGCAGAATAAAACTGCAGTGCTATTAGTACTAGCAATAAGCAAGAGATTAAAAAATTACCTCTACATTGTGCTACTTCTGCAGGATTTTATTTTTCTGATTAATTCCAAAATGTGTTAATGTTTTTTGCAGAAAAGCTTTACCCACTGAGGGGAAAAAAAAAACCCAAACCAAAAACAAAAACAAACAAACAAAAAAGAACACTTGTTCTTTCTTTCAGGAGAAATTGTATTATTCCTTTAGTTGTTTTCATTCCACATGAAGGAACTCAGCTTGTCCCAGGAATTCCAACCCTGACTCCTCTTAGCACTGCACTGTGAGCCTTTCAGGCTGCACTCTCTGCACTTTCTGACCCAGGGCTAGCACTGGCTGATCTAAAACACAGCTGCAGCATCTGGGTTTCATGAGAAGTATCTGCCATGAGGAACTCCATACTGATCGTCTCTTCCAGGGTGAGGCATCTTCTTCAAGTCTAGCTCTGCTCTGGATGTGTCAGGTTTCTTCCCGTCTGCCAAGTCCTGTTTCTTTAACTCACTTTCAAACATGGTTTCCTCAGCACTTTTTTCTGAATCTTTAATTTCTTTTGGAAAAACAGCAGAACATCTATCTCCATAGAACCATAGAATGTCTCGCTCAGTACTCCTTTTTGCCTTCAGACCACATCAGAGTACATCAGCAATTTACTGGGCTGCTGATGAATGCAAAATGGGCAAACAGGAGAGTCTTGCAAAACTTACTTTCATTTTAAAAAATGAAAATCAAAGTCTTATATACAGAAATAAAAATATCCAAGTGTAAATCAGGCATAAAAACCAGTGCTGTCTGTATATCACTATCCATCAACACTAGAAAATTAGTAATAAAAGTCAGTTTAGGCAATCAACCCAAGATCCCGTGGAAAAAATAAAAAGTACTAGAGAATATGGCTGCTCTTACAACATCTTGAAGACTTGAGAGCAAGGCGAATAACAAAAAGCATCAATTCTCACAGCAGTTAAGTATATAAATTATTCACTAGTCAGAGACTGAGACAGCAAGGATAAAGCTACAAAGCTATAAAGGATCTAGACACATTATCATAACCCTATTGTCTCCCTTCTCCCTCATCAGAGAGAGAAAAGAGATGGACTGGAGCCCTGCTCTTGTTTTCCTCACTATTACTATGTTGCACACATGCAAAGTATTTTCCTATTTCATTAGGAGAAATAAATCTAACTCTAATTTATAATCTTACACCTAAAGTAGCCCTGTGTATGATCCACATATTCTAGCTCTGCCACATGCAAGCAAAAGTTTCAAGTCTATTAAAGCCTGCCCTGTGAATAAAAGTTACGAGGTTTCTACTAAGCAGAAATAAGAGCAGGTGACATCACCAGTTACTTATTAACTTACAGTGTAAAGAAAAATCATAAAAATGAGTCTGAGAGGAGTACCACAAATACAACAGGCAATAAAATTAACTGCCTCACACGTGGTGAAGAAAACCCGAGTCCCACATTTCAGATTAAGTACGGGACGGTCTATCCCTGCTGCACGACACTGATTCCTGTTTAACGGGCGTAGCAGAGTGCAGGCAGGGGACACCTGGCGCTCCGCAGGGCGGGCAGGGGAGGGAGCCTCAGCGGGCCCTGGGGACGGCGCGGTCACAGAGGGGCCCCGGGGGGCGCCGCCGCTGCGGGGCCGTGAGGAGCGGGGCTACAGGGAACAACCCACGGCACCCGCGGGCCCTCCGCGGGCGGCTGTGCCCGGAGCGGCCGCGACCGCCCCACAGCCCCGGTACCTGGGCCCGGAGCGGCCGCGGCCTCCCCACAGCCCCCGTACCTGGGCCCGCTCCGCCGCCGCGCTCCCGTCTCCAGGCAACTGCGGCAGCGGCGCAGCGCCCCGGGAGCGCAGCCAGCGGGCGGGTCGGCGGCGCTACCGGGCCAATTGCGGGGGCTGGTGGTTTACTTTGGGTTGTTCGGGTTTTTTAATTTAAAGAAACCTCTGCTTTGGCCATGGTTGCGGTCCTTTCAGAACTCAGCGGGAAAATTAAATTAGCGACAGGTCTAGAGGAGACAGTCTTGAGCTGCGCCAGAGGAGGTTTAGGTTGGACATTAGGAAGAATTTCTTCACAGAAGGATGATTAGATATTGGCATGGGCTGCCCAGGGAGATGATGGGATCACTGTCCCCGGAGGTGTTTAAGGAAAGACTGGACGAAGCACTCAGTGCCCTAGTCTAGTTGACATGAGGGTGTTCGGTCACAGACTGGACACGATAATCTCGGAGGTCTTTTCCAACCGAACCGATTCTGTGATTCCGTGAATTCCCCAGATGTTCCTCCCGCCCGCAGTCTTTAGCGTGCGCTCTCGTGCGCCCCTCGCTTGGGGCGCGCTGCCCTGGACGACGCAGCTCGGCTAACTTCCCACACACCTGTGTGTTCGGGATAGATAGATAGATAGATAGATAGATAGATAGATAGATAGATAGAAGGCAGTTCTTGAAACTGCCGGCTGGTATTTTGTCTGGCGTTCCGGCGGAGGGTGCAGGTACAAAGGGAGGGGACTTCAGCCGGAGGCAGCGGCCGGCCCAGGGACAGGTGCCACGGAAGGGGAGGGACAGTGGGCGCGACGTCCCCGGGCGGAGGAGGAGGAGGAGGAGAGCGCGCCATGGCTCAGCGCGGGCGCTGCCGGTGGGCGCTGCTGCTGGCCTGGCTGCCGGCCGGTGAGTGCGGCCCGGGGCTCACGGCGCCCTCCGGAACTGCGACCCACTCTGCCCCGGGACACCCCCGCGGCGCACGGCCCGGGACTCGGGAGGCGCCCTCGGGTTTCTCCCGGGGTTAAGGAGGCGTGGGGTCGGGGGAGCGGCGGCGGCCCCGCGGTGAGGGGAAGGGGCGGCCCGGTCCGGCCGGACGCCGTTCCCCCGTGGTGCCCTTTCCCGCCCGCGGGGCTCTCCCGAGCTCGGCGCGAAGCCGTGCGGAGACGAGTTTCGCTTCCCAAAGGTGCGGCTGACCTCTCTCCTAGGAGGAAGTGGCCTCCTGCTTCCTGGCAGCCTCCAGTATCGGTCGCATGCGGCCAGCTCGGCTGGGACCTGGGCGCTGGGCATGGACGTGCGGGGATCCCCTTTGGCCTCTCGTAAACGCCCAGCCGAGGTTTTGCTGCTGGCTCAGGAGCCTCAACCTCTTGGGGATTTCTGGGGTAGCTGCAGTGCTGCTGCACCTGCTGGGCCACCTGCTCGTGTGGGGAGCAGGAGCTCACCTCCCTGCCCATGGGCAGCCCTCAGCCGGCAGTGTTCACTCTGCCAAGCTTTGTGGGTCGACCGAGTCTAAACTCCTCTTGGAAATAAAGCGATCATTCTGCTTCTTGGATACCTGGGTCTTGGCTGATGATACGTCTTTAAAGTTAGGTTCTTCACAGAGAACCACTGAAGGAAGCAAAAAAGTATGGAGGGTATGCTTGTTTATTGTCTTGCTTGACAACTGTGTTCCTGGGAGATGCTCTAGCCAAAACTTGGCTCCACTGGCTCCAGAGCTTCGTGTCTTCACTGCAAAGCCGTGGATGTAGCCAAAACTTACTAGATTGGTGGCATCCATAGTTGTTCTTTCCAACCAGGATAAGAAAGATAGTGTCCTGCAGTGGAGTAATGCAGTCCACATTTAGGACCCAGCCTTAATATCACAACTTTTTGGTTTTCTTGGAGGAGGTTAATGGGAAACATTGAACATGCAGCAACATCTGACTGTTCGCTGGGGAGGAACAGTAGGTTTTCAACCTCTTTAGAAAATAAGGAACTTACCCTTCAACTCTGGCTGTTTTGCCAGAGGTAGTGAGAAAGCATCCTTTCCATAAAGAGATGTGAGTTTTGTTAGTAAAAAGCACACAGTGGTTTTGAATGTTTTATTCTTGCCAGAGAGATACTGTTATAGGAAATCCATGGAAAACGTTCTGTTCCCATGAGCCTTGACAAGTCAGAATTCATATGGGTTTCATTCAGTTGACACTGAGATCACAGTTTTGCCAGTCTTGAGAGTTTGAATTGGTTTCTTGTGATTTTCTGCATTAAGACCCCGGAGTCAGCTATTTCACAGTGAAAGCTGAAACAAGATGTGTTGAACTGCAGTGCTTTTGAATAAGAGCAACTGTAACTACCTGTCAGCAGTCTGAACCTTGCAGCGCTACGGCATTGTAAAAACTTGTTTTATCTAGAGGTTTGTACACCTGCTGGTCTTTCTGTGTTTAAGTGTCTGTATGTATATCTTATTTTTCAGGAAAGCCTTGGATTCAGCGGGTTCCCTGGCTTTGCCTGTGTTTGTGTGGTATTCTTTAGGCAAATGAGTTTGCTCTGCTTGTGCTTTCAGTTGGCTGACAAGGAGTCCCATTTCAAACCAGAAACTGAGCAGGTGCTGCATTGACAATACCCTACTGCAGAACAACTTGTTGAGGCAGCATGCACCACTGCAGCATCTTTTCCACAGTGTGGAAGTTGTGTGAGCTCATATTTGCCTGGAATGTAGCGTGGAGGTGGCAGCCTAAAAGGACACTGAAAGATGCTTGACAGAGTGAGGTTTGCAGTTGTGGTCCAGATGTTACTACATAGCAGTAGCAACTTGTTCTCTTGCTCTGATCCTGAAAATATGGACTAGAGGGAAAATCTTTGAATATATGATAAAAATCAAGTGTTGATTCATGGAGACCTGTACAGTTGGTACCTTCAAGTATCCCACTTTCTTTCCTGCCTTTCCTGCGGTCGTGCTCTGCAATTAAGAAGCAACTAGTACAGCACTGCAATCCCTGCCTGGTTCTCTGGCATGTATTCCAAACAGGGCATCCCACACTTGCCCTGCACTGTTTGTATTCCCTTATCAAAGGCAACTGGTGATAACTTTGCTATTATTAATGACAAGCACAACTTGCTGTACTACCACAGTTTAAATAAGATAGAGATGTTTCTGGAGTATAGCTGAACTACAGCATAGCTTATGAGAAACTTTGTAAATCCTTCTTGAGTATGTTCAGCTGCTTAGATGGAAAGTGCTGTGGAGGCTGTTAGAATGAATACATAACAAATACATAATGGTAGCTTAATTTTAAAGGAAAAAAGGGGGTAATTCATGTGTGCTGTTCTGAAGTGGTGATAAACAATTAACTGCAGTGCTACGCCTGAAAGTTGTATTGTCTTAATCCTGGTCACCACTAGATAACATTTGATGAGTGTCTGAGCAAGATCTGATAAAATTTATTCGGTGTTTATACAAACAGAAGGCGCTGCAGAGCTTTTTTGATTAGGATTAAAAGCCAAAGAAGTCCATCCCATGTGCTTCTGGGACAGTTTTCCCTGTGTAGGAGAACACAGAGTGATGTGCTGCACAATGGCTCCTCATGCTTTGGAGAAAATAATTCAGTCCGTAAAGAGGACTGAATGAAGCTTTCTTCTGTCAGGGAAAGATGGAACTCCTGTTCTAACCAGGGTTTGTAACCCTGGATGACTTCACCAGAGGGGCTGGGAGGTCTATAGGTGCAGGTCCTGGATGGGGCCAAAGGAGATGTACTTGGGTCGTTGCTCTGGTGCAGATGGTGTGATGGGAGGCCTGAGGAGTCTGTGGCCTGATGGCCTCCTGTGTTTTGTTTGCAGGTTGCCTGTCGCTCCTGGTGACAGTGCAGGATGTCGAGCGTTACACCACCTTATTTGCCACTGTCATCCTCAAGTGTGACTACAGCACCTCGGCACAGCTGCAAGACGTGGTGGTGACCTGGCGCTTCAAATCCTTCTGCAAGGACCCCATCTTTGACTACTACTCAGCCTGTAAGTGTCAGGCTCATCCTCCAAGAAATCCTCCTTCAAGTGGGAAGAAAGGGGAAGGTAGACTCACTGGGGTAGTACAGGCTTTTGACCCCTTCCTATGCAAAAACCAGGTTGTGACATTTCTCTGCAGTCCCAGGAAATGCAGGTCATATCTGTGATTACCTTTGAAATGTCAAGACCTCATGAGATCATAGAAATCCCAACCAAAGCAGCTCTTTTGTCCTCCTTGTCATGGACTCAGAATACAGGACAGTCCAGCTGTGGTTGACACAAGTCCATTTTGGAAGCCCTGTCTTATGCTTCAGCATGTTTGAAAGCAAGGGCCCTGCAACAAGTGGGTTTTAGGATTCCATGGGGTACCTGTGATTGGAGGTGGATACCTGTGACCAGATGTTACTGATTTTAGGAAATAGAAGAAACATACATTTTCAAGGGCATGAAGACTTCTAAGTAATAGCATTTAGTAGTGGTGGGAGCACTTCACGTGCAGACATTCTGGTGCAGGCAGCCTTAATTCAGGGGCATTTAATATGGTACACAAACTGCATCCCAGGATAACTGCTTGGTCCAAAAAGAGGGTGATTATCCCTCTGTGTTTAGTGTTGGTATGACCTCAGCAACCAGGTGAGGTGTATTGTATGTGATTCAGGGTCACAGGATTTGAGGATATTAAGGTACTTGAATGCATCCAGAGGAGGGCAACAAAGCTGATAAAAGGCCTGGAAGACATATCCTGTGAGGAGCAGCTAAGAATTTTGTGTTTGTCTAGTTCAGGAAAAAGGAGACTGAGGGGTAACCTCATTGCTCCCCCTGAGAAGGGGAAGTGAAGAGGGAGGTGCTGCTCTCCTCTCCCGAGTATCCAGTGCTAGGATGTATAGGAATAGCTCGATACTACATCAATAGGATACTACTTTACATTTTAATCAATCCTGAAGTGATCAGACAGTTGGACTAGATAACCTTTGTACATCCCTGCCAACTGAACTATTCTGCTCTGTTCTATTTTTTGTAAACCCTGCAAAATGTTTAGGTAGCCAGCCACAGCATAACTGTACACCTAGAACTGAGCTCACAGTGGGTACTTGGTGCCCAAACTCTCCTTTACGCAATCTGGATGGGTTAGGTAGGCATGTTATCAAATGCTCTACAACCCAAGCAGGTGGGTCCCTGGCTCAGCTGATCCCAGCAGAATGTGAGTGCTTTTAGCCCAGGCTCAAGCTAATAGTCCCCAAAAGGGACTTCATGCTCCATTTTATGTATAGCAATGAAAGAGCCTTTGACAAGCTTTGCACTCATCTCTCTTCACTGCAAGCTCTTTACAGAAAATGCTGACTGAATCAGCCATTTCCCCAAATCTCAGCTCCTAAATACTTGAAAATTCAATGTTGGTTTATGATGTGAGTCTGTCAGAAGGGTATTGTACAGAAATTGCCTCTAATCCTCCATTAATTCTCTTGTGTGTCTTTACATTTAATCTTTAGCTGGAATCAGATGATGGATTATTTTCCGTCTATGAGCTCCACATCATCTAATGGGATATAGGAGGGAAAGGGAGATAATCCATAGAGCAGTTCATGTCTGGAGGTTTTGCTTGGTAGATAAACACCCTTTTGTTTTAGTTCTAGTACTCCTGGGTGTTTTATGACTTTTTTCCTTTAAGCTTCATACTGGGAGCTGCCTTCCAGCCTACCACCATTAGCTTCTTTCTACTGTTGTTCTTTCAGTTGTGAGTACAGGAGGCATCTCCTCTGCAGGTCCTGCATTCCCAAAATCTCTGCCATTCCTGTGGCTCTACCTCTGTTTGTTTTTGAGTACTCCAAAGCAACTTACTGGTTTGAAGCCATGCTTTGTATTGCTAAATCAAAGCAATTGCACACAATGTACTCAAGAATTTCTCTACTGCTCACAAGAGGATAGAAATTGGTCTTTTGAAATAACTTTTGCCATCTCTGATGACGTGTGTTTGTAGCATACCAGGCTGGTTTAGCCCTTGGCCAGGACCCCTCAAACGACTGCAATGACAGCCAGCGGAAGGTGCGCATTGTCATCCAGAAATATGGGCAGAAGGACCCTGTGCTGGGCATCGACTACCAGCAGCGAAAGATCACCATTCAGAACCGTGAGTGACCTCCCAGGCAGGCAGTGGGTCTGCTAAGTGAAGAGAAGCATAAACATGGTTAATGTCATCTGTAGCTTACATACTGCACATGGTAATGGAATAAGAGCAGTGAAGGGCCCTGTCCCCAGCTCGCCTGAGGGTGTTTGGAGGCAATACAATGTAAGGCTGAGCTGAGGATGCCAGACCATTTTGCTGAAGAACACAACAGCTGAGGAGCTCAGAGGCTAGAAAAAAACAGTTAATTCTTTCAAGTACTGCATAATTGTCCAGGTGTGTTATATGCTCCCTGCTGTCCATGGAGCAATAGATATTGCACCTGCCAGAAGAGCCATTGGGATTGCTGGCCTAAGAGAGACAGTGATCTGTGTTCCAAAACCAGTAGGGTTGGCTTCCAGCAACAGAGAAAACATGGACTGGCAGCGAATACTGTTTGTAGGAGCTCTCAGTGGACTCAAATCACTCACCTTGTTTGAAGGTGATGGCTGTGCTTGAGAAGAGGGGATATGCAGTACTCTGTCTCCTGCAGGCAGAGGGCTCTTCTCAGGTGGAGCCTGAAAGTAGTGTCTGTCAGTCACAAAGAGCCCACTGACCTCTCAGTCCCTCTCCCACAGGAGCAGACCTGGTCATCAGTGAGGTCATGTGGTGGGACCATGGCATGTACTACTGCACTGTGGAAGCACCAGGAGATACCTCAGGTGATGCGGACAAAGAAGTTAAGCTGATTGTTCTCCGTAAGTGCCTGTGCTTTGTTGCCAAGATGTCTCCTCCTGTTCTCCTTACCTCAAGACATCTCCAGCAGTGGAGAGGTGCTCAGTAAGCTACCATGGCCAGATTCATCAGGAGAAATCCTTTTTCTCCCTCTTTTTTTTTTTCCCACAGACTGGCTCACAGTACTCCTCATCATTCTTGGTGGCCTCCTCCTCCTTCTGCTGATCGGGATATGCTGGTGCCAGTGCTGCCCCCAGTATTGCTGCTGCCACATCCAGTGTGGCTGCTGTCCAACACGATGCTGCTGTAATCAGAAAGGTGAGGTTCAAGCAAATGTGCATCCATTTATGGTTTCTGTCAAGACAAAAGCTTGGCTGGGAGCTTGCTGAGCTCCACTTTCTCCCTTTTGCTAAGCATCCATATAAACTGAAACATTTATTTGGCCAATGTGACCTCCAAGACCAGCTAATCTGAAATTACAGGAGGGGATCTCCTCCTGATACATGGAATCAGTCTTGCTTCTCTGTGTCCAACTATCAGAAGTTTCTCCTCACTCACACCTTGTTACCAGCTTCTCTGACACCATCCAGGGCACAATCAATTCCCTTGTCTGAGTAGCTCAGGACATTCTTTCCTGTCTTATGGTTCATATGCCTGTGCATGTGAGAAAGGCAAGCAAATGCCTTGGTACTAGTCTCCAAATTAGCCTTACTTTCAAGTATGTTGCTCTGAGAAGAATTACATAAAAACTGGAAAATTTTTATCTGCATGTTTTCTTCAGAGCTGTTCCTTCTACTACTAGAAGAAGGTTTGGTTTGGTTTTCTTTGGGGAAGGAAGTGAGAAGAAGGTGGAGAAAGATGGTTTCCCTTGCTGGTCAGCCTTGCAAGTGCATTCTGAAGTTCTGAGGGTCAAAAGAAACTTTCTTGTCTTTGCTTTAATTAGTAATAAAGTTTCTACAGCCAGACCCTGTTCTTTTAATAAGGCTCCTCTTTGAATTTTGGCTGTTAATTTCATGTAACCTCTGCATTCCTGTAACTGAGACTTGATTAGCAACAAGTGGACTAGTCCCTCTGAAGCTTATACAGTCTGGCAGTAACAAAATACAACAAGTAAGTTTATTTATCATTGAAATCCCCAGGTTCTTCCCCAGATGCTACAAGCAGAGGATTTAGGAACAAGGATCTCTGTTTCAGGCTTACCTTTACCTTCAAAACAGCTATTTAGTATAGTTTGATTGTTAGTAAACTGTGAGAGTTTTAGATTTAAGCTTAATTTGCTTAGCCCTTGCAAAGAGTGAGCAGAACAACCCTTTTATTGCTAAAACCAAAACTAAACATTGGAGGCCTGACAGATTGTCATGTAAATTTTGTAGTGTTGAGGAGGCTATGGAAATCTGGCAGAAAAATCAGTTTCTGTGAAGGGGAAGAGAGGTAATGGAGATGGGAGACTCACACCTCCAGAATTCCTACTTCTCAGCAAAAAAGAGATTCAGAGTTTGTGTGAGCTCCATTCTGTTTTTCTGTGCTGCAGATTACAGCTTACTCCAGACTGCTGCTATTTCCTCCTGTTAAAGAGGAGGGATTCTTGCAGAGTTTTCTAAACTTCTCCGTGTTCATGAGAGAAAATACAGACAAGTCTAGCCTCCTTGACTGTATGCTGGATTCTGTGTCTGTAATTTACATCCAAGCTGCCTGCCCTCTGTATCCACTTTACAAAGGATCCATGTGGCTGATCCTCTCCACTAATACTGCTAAACTGCTTCCCTTTACTTCCTCCTGCCTCTGACTTACTCTTTTTGCACTCCAAGAAATTAACTGGAGGCCTTAAAAACCACAAGATAGATTCAGGAGACATCTTGAAAACAGTGCTGAGGAATAACATCCCACACAGCTGAAGAGAAGGCAGAAATCCTCACCTGTGTACGATCACAGGGTGTGTGGGTGCTTCCTTCCCCGTTGCTGGCCACTAGAGGACAGCGTGGATCTGCTGAACAGTCACAGGTGCCAGTGAGGCAGGATGATCGTGGTGCTGTGAATCACGCCATTAACGAGCATGGGTTTGAACCGTGCAGTAAAAGGAATGCATTGTCTGAGTAATTCAGGACTGATGTACAGAAATATTAGAAATGCCCCAGGAGCAAGCCAATTACATTCCCTGTGGAAAACTCTGAGAAAAGCCCATCAGAGTAAATACACGTATGACCTCCTTCTGTTCTTCTTTGTTCCTTTTCTGCTGGGGACTTATTCCAGTAATGAATCAGGGAAAACTAGGATATACTTGCACCTGGGTATCACTAAGTTGCAAAATACTTTATTTTTAAAATTGACCCAGCAGCTGTTAAAGTCTGTCAAAGGTGAAGAACAGATTTTTCCAACAGAGAGTAAGTGGAGGGAGCAACACAACTTTCTGGCAAAGCAGGGTAGGAGTTTTGGAATTAGGGTGAATCTGACCTTCCTCAGATAAATACATTCACTTTAAAAAGATCTGTAACTTCAGTTTTGCAGATGGGAAATCAGAATATATATTGGATTCAAATTGGAAGGCAAAGTATCTGGGGAAGGAAGAAGGGCTGGTGGTAATTAAGGAAGACTAGGGCTAATTCTGGATTTGTTCAGCTGTAGGGAGAAATCAGAAAATGACAGGGACAGGATGACTTTGGTCCTAGTGACAGCCTTCCTACCTTAAGAGGGAGAATGCTAATCAGGTGTGCCTGTAGGTGCTGGATCTGTTACTCAGGCAAAGACCCAGGTCAAAACCCCAGGACATATACTCAGCAGACTCTAGGACATTGTCAAGGTAATAACTGGAGGAATGGGAGAGAGAGAGAGATAAGGCCTTCCCCTTCTATTTATCCCTTCTTTGTATTCTTTCGCTTATCCTCTAAATTTGAAAGGTAAACTGGAAGGATATCCCTTGGGACAAAAAAAAAAAAAAATCAAGTTTGACATAAAGTTCTTGAAGCTGCTACCTCAGACCACACAGCTTTGAGGATATCAGATTATTAGGATTAAAACCCCTGATGTTTCCGGCTTTGTAGTTCCCTCTGGTTGAAGCCAGACTGGGGATAGGGAGAGAGTTTGCAGTGGAGAATTAAGTGGAGCTGCATGAACTGTGGAGAAAAGGAAGGATGTGTTGAGGGGCATGGTCAGTCCCTCTTTTGCTGCAAGTGGTGCTCTGGATAAATCCAGTGAAACAGCTGAAGGAAGACATGTTTAATAACTGGAGTACTACCTAAAGTGGAGAGCTCAGTCCCAGAGAGCGTGCAGTCTAAATGCTGCCTACTGCAGTGAACCCAGGGGACAGAATTAATTGGAGCTTAGCTGTAGCCTGGTTTCTTAAAGAAGTAAATCTTATGCAGTCAACTTGTCTGTCTATCCCTAGTCTCTTTCCCTCCAATAGCTTTTCATTTCATCAGCCAGCTTCAGCCAGATTAATCAGAGGGGTAAAAGTCTCAAAGGCAATTATGTTCCTATCTGTTTCTTGAACTGTAATGTTTTGTTCATGCCTGACCAGACAAGAGGCTGCAGTAAAAGTCACTTCTGAAACTCCAGGAAAGCCATAAAAGAGAAAAAGGCACTGTTGCTGAAAAGCTTCAGCCAGTAATAACATACAAACCAGGCTTTGTAAGGTCCGGGATTTGTAGAATTTACTTGCTTCTAAACTTAAGTTTTGATTGTTTGTGGTAGAATAAATAAATTTCTGTAAAAAATTCCCCCAAAAGAAGCAGCAATCAGCTAAGGTCTGAAGGCAAGGGGGCTTATCTGTGTTGAGGAGATGAAATAGAAATGCTGAAAAAAGGGAAGTGAAATTGGAATCTGACCCCACAAATAGGGGTCTGTGCGCTTGTCCGGAGTTAGCAGCAGTGGAAACCCTGTGAAAGAGAAATTTCCACTGTTCGCTCTTTTGGCACCCTGGGCATTACTGTTGAGAGCAGGAAGTTTTGTTTCTTCACCACTTTGGCCACACTGTCTTAGAGGATTTAATTTTAGCTGTCATTCTGAGGTAAATTATAGAGTGACCAGAAGAGTCATCAAAAGACTAGAAAGGGAAAAGCTGGACAGTGCACCTCTGAGTGCCCTCTTTGTGAAACAGAGAGAAAATGATGAAGTGTAGAGTGGAAAATATGATCTGGACAGAACCCACATAATGGTGGCAAGGAAAGGTCTCATTTAGTGGGAAGTCAAAGCCAAAAGGGGAAGGGACCAGTGATGAACTGAAAGAATTTTGAGAGAAAAAAAAACTGTTGCATGTCTTGATGTATGAAACATTATTTCCCACCTTTCTGCAGCTCTGCTCTGTAATGAAAGGGCAAGTGGAAGTTTTAACTTAGTTATGTGCTGCATACTTATTTGTTTCCCAGTTGTTGGGACTGGAATCAGAATGTTGGGCAGTCAAGCTTTTCTTCTGTTTTAGGTACTTTTTTGAAGATGTACAACTTTGTACTGGAATTCCCTGTGCTCTGTTTTACCTTGGTCATGGGGTGGAGAGAGATTTTAACTTTGTGAACTTCCTGTATCCAAAGGCTACAGCCTGTGAAGCAAAATGGTGTGTGATCTGCAAGCTGTGCCCTCTGGAGAGGTGCTGTAAGCTTTCTTTTTCTTTTACAGTACTGGAACGGCACCAGTTCATGAAGCGGGCTCAGGCACTTGCACCTTGGTTATCACCCAACATGTTCTATGGAGCTGGTGACAGGAACTCAAAACTTTCCTCTTACCAGCTGAACCCCCTGCTGCAACAAGGTGAGACTATGAGCATCATTTCAGAGGGAAATCAGGATGAGAAACAGGTCACTTGTTTGGGAAGTTCAGCATTGAGGCTTTAGCATCTCTACCAGAAAAGAGAGAAAGATGTTCCTAGCATGACTGCATGTTCTAGAATGACAGCTCTGCCACAGCTGCAGCACACCATAAACTTGTCCAGATGCATAAAAACAGCCTGTTAAGTGTCTTGCTGGGCTCAATGCTGGGTGAAGCAGTTTAATACTAACTAAGGTGTATCTGTGCTACACCCCAGTGACTGCAGGGTAAATATACCCAGCTTATCTTGCTTTGTGTGGCAGAGCAGGGTACTGTCTCTTTGTTCTGCTGCGCTGGTCACGGTCAACTCCTTATAGCCAAAACTGACATGACAAGTGAGGTGCCATTTGTTTGAGTTCTTATCAAATGTCTAGTCTTCAAGTGATTAAGGGCAAACTGTCTTCTGTGCAACAGATCTAGCCTGCATGCAGGAAAAAATGAAGGACTCTTCGTTAAGAACCAGGAAGAATTTTCTTCTCCATTTGTTGCTCATATCTGTACATATGTGTGTGTATGTGTGCATACATATAAAAATGTTCCTATTTTCATTTTCTTTTGCAGTACTTCTTCCAGTTCAATGAAATGCAAAAGGAAACACTATGGTCTTTCTCTGATTATTTATAAATAAAATATGATATCAGTGCTGTAGGAAAAAAATGTTCCTCTAAATACACAGACTATATTTCCAGGTATGCTGGGCTTCTTACCTCTGTACTGCCTAAAAATGTTAGGTCATGCTGCAGCTTATTACTTACTACTCTTTGCACCATACCTCATGTGGTCTGGATGTGCTGGTTGTGGTGCCTGGGACTTGTGCAGCTCTTGCAGTGAGGTGGAGCAGGAGAAGAGAAGCAACTCAGCCAGGATCATGAGTACAGAAGGGTGTTCTCTTCAGTGTTTCCTCTTGACTTGCCGTGTTCTCCTGTGCTTTTATACCTAGATGTATCTCTGCAGAACAGTCTTCAACTGGTGCAGCCGCAAGCCCAGCCTTCCCATAAGAATGGTGTTTTGGACTATCTGGAGTCTGAAATCCAAAACCTGAACATGTCCCAGCTGCGGCCACCCTCCCACCAGCGGCAGGCTGTGCAGCCCAGCTTGCTGTCCTCGCTGGGCTCCGACATCGTGCCACCTCCTCTTGCCGACCACATCTCCTCCATCCATGGGAGCAGCAACTCCTCAAGGCCACAAAGAGCTGCCCGCACCCCGAGGCCCTGGGACTCTGCAGCAGAAGACAGAAGGGAAAACCAGAGGCGGCCCTTGCCTTCCAGTGGGGATTCTCATTCCAGCTACAGTCAGGAGCCCTGGGACAGGCAGCGAGAGGATCCTCCTCAGAGGCAGAGAACAGGTGGCTACAATGGCAGGCCCCAGCACTCCAGACGGGATGTGTCACCCCCACGCCAAGCTGAGAGAGGGAAGGGCAGCAGCAGCTTCTATCCAGAGGAGACCAAGGAGCGCTCCAGCCACCATCGTGCTGGTAGGCAGGAGCTCGGGGGAAGGCGAGAATACGAGCACCATGCTGGGAGGAGCAATTACTCTGGCCAGAACTGGCACAGCTACTCCCCCTCCTCTTCTCCCAGGGGCTCCTGGAGCTCCTCAGAAGAGCAAGTCCGTGTGCCGGTGTCAAACCGCAGGCGGAGGAACCGCAGGTCCCGGGAGTGGCCAGAAGAGAAACCCCCCAGTTACCGCTCCTTAGAAATCATCCCAGCTCAGGACAAGAAGCACAAAGGCAGCGCAGGGACCCGCTCGGTGAGTCAGCTGCCTTTGTGCTTTCCTATCTAAGGGAAAAGGTGGGGTTTAGGGAGTGAGAGGGAATGTTTTCTACTTTCTGTAGCCTGTTGTCTTTCAAACAGAGGCCAAGGAACAAGGAGTGCTCTGCACAGCATGGTTATGAAGAGGCTGCTGAGTACCCAGGCTGCTGAGGCTGCCTTTTCACAGGCACTGCCTGCATGTAGTGTATTCAGGGCAAATTAAAAAGTCACATCCCTGGAAGTGTTCCATGCCAAGCTGGATGGGGCCCTGAGCAAGTGGAAGGAGTCCCTGCCCAGGGTGGGGGAATTGGAACCAGGTGATCTTTAAGGTCCCTTCCAACCCAAACCATGTTATGATTCTGTGATTCTGAAATAAATTAAGTCCCCTACAGGGTAACATGTTATATTCCTATACTGTCCAGTGGCTTTTGGGATCCTGTGTATATATTGATGTTAAAATAGCGGTTCTGGTACTGACTGGGGAGAAAGCACTTCCAGACCAGGCAGCAGCATCCATCCCTCTGTAACCATCTCTGGTGCTGGTCTACTTCTGATTTCTTTTAAAATGTGGATGATATTTTTAAGATGGCACATATGGGAAAACATCCATAAAGCTACATTAAATAGACTTTAAGGTCATGGGTGGCATGGATGAAAAATGTGTCTTTCTTCAGGCCAGGTGGTAGAGGATGACTCCTTTGTTGGGACTCCTGAGAACTGAACATACATTATGTGGGCAGTCAACAGCTACTGTTCACAGCTCTTCTTGTCAGTTTGCACTGGGATTAGACATTAGGTAGCAACCTAAGTGTGAAAAGCTGCATATCCAATTGCTAATCTCCAAATTAGACAGTGTATTTCCCCTGAAAAAATGAAGATTCTTTTAAATCAAAAAACGTTAAGTGTCCCTTATCACACACATGCAGAATTTTACAGGTTGGGAGTATTTTGAGGGGCTGTATGTTGCACATTACCATTTCCCCTTTTGTGTTGTGCAAGGAAGTGCAATTCTAGTTCCAGCTGGAATGTGTATATGTATAATTGGTTTTTGTCATGGTGCTCAGAGCAGGTAGGAAGACATAGGATTTTCTTTCATCATTCCTTGTTCTTGAATCTTTTATTTTCTCTTGCAGGACAGAGGAAGTTCCCACAGTGGAAGAAGCATAGTCATTTAATGTCAGTACTGGAAGAACTAAGATTCCCACTGAACTCCTTGTTTTTCTACTATTTAGGTTGGCATGGCTGCTTTTGATTGAGCAGATAAACAGCAATAAAAGGTTGGGCTAAGTTCTAATGGGCTGAGGTTCATTAAAACATTCTAGTAGAAACAGCAGATTTTTTAAGTAAACAGTGTATTCCAGTCTTTGAAGAGAGATACCAGTTCTCCCGATTAAGTGCAGTGGCACTGCAAGGAGCCCAATCTGTAGAGTGCTGGTGCAGGTTCCAATGTTCTCCAGAGTTGTAAAGTCACAAGACAGGAGAATAATTTAGATTGGAAGAGGCCTCTGGAGGTCATCTGATCCAGTCCCCTAGGAGCTTTGTGGGGGGAGGTACAACATCTTTCTAAGGTCCTTTGTTGTGCTTCAGAATGTGTAATGTTTATTGCTTCTGCCTGGCTGCTCAGCATAGCTGGGACAGTGGCTTCCTTTTGTCCCCACTAAGCCTCTCTCCCAAACAGGAGGATCATGGTGTAATTAGGTCTCACTGGCATGTCTGCAAATTGTCAGCTTCTCTGCTCTTTACTGACTGAAAGAACCTGTTCTACTTTGAGCTTAGACCTTAGTGCCTTAAGAGATACTTGTTCTAGCCTTTCATCCAGACTTGAATTTATTTGTAATCTTAAAGGCTAAATTTACCAAGATTTGTTCTTCCCTACAGGGACTCAACAAAGTATGACTACTCTCCTTTACACAATGGGCCAGAATTTCCTTCACCTCAAGGAAGCATGGTTTTGGTGAATATATTTTGCCTAAGCCAAGTACTCTTTTCCGTACATGTTATAGTCTTCCTTTCTTCTCCATGCCATGTATCATATACATGGGGTGGGATAAAGGACTCTGAACAAGTCTTATAGTCACCATTTTTACTGCTGTCCTTGATCTTTACCCTGACACACCAACGCTGCATGTGTGGTGCATCTGATCTGGAACTGGATTGTAGGGTTTCCTCAGTTCTCACCCTGACTAGAATACAGAATTTCTCTGTGCCTTGAGTTGTGAAGGAGGACTTGTCATTTCTCCTTGATGAGATTAATCCACTGTTTTAATTTAAAATGTGCTTGAGAAAGAGAAGCTCTGTGGATGCTGGCTGTTTCCAGGAGAAACTGTCTTGCCAGAGGCACTTCCTGGCTTTAAGAGACTCCAGTTTGGCAAGGAGCTTTTGGAGAATCTTGTGAATTATTTTGTAACCCAGAGGCACTGGAGATTGGCCAGTACCAATGACTGTCTTGTCTAGCTTATTTCCCAGCCCGTGCCACATGGGACTCCTGCTACTGTTTGTTCTTCAATGTCCTAATTACTGATGTGCTTATACTTTTTCCTGGAAAACTTTGAGAGACTTTCACTTTGTCCACCTCCTTTTATTTCTTTTCTTTGGACAATGACAGGAAACATCACACTTTGTACAAATGGTCCTAGTTGGATATCCAATGCAGTTGCTGGTCAACACAGGGCTACTCCAGGCTGTTCAGTTCATCTTCCTACAGTTTCTTGGCTGAACATGCTTATTCGTAATTCCTACCTATGGAGATAAAGCAGAAGGGCCAAGGAGCTTCTCTGGTTGACTTTGTTTCAGCACTGGAGGCCCAGTTTTTGAAGACAGAGGGTCTCTTTGCCCACATCTGATGGCTATCACAATTTTTTTTTAAAGAGCTAAAAGAGTAACTCCAATGTTTGAATTCAAGAAAGGAGGGCTGTAATTAGCATAGTACTTGTCTGCATTTAGGTCCAGACTGGACAACGTGAATTGACCCATGAGTCACATTTGAAATATAGGGAATTGTTTTTGCAGAACTTGCAAAGCTAGGATCATTCTTGAATTTATCAGCCACTGCTGTGGATTATTTTTTTCTAATTTTATGATGTGCTTAGGATTTTATGAACTACCTTTTTGTATGATGTACTGGTATTTTTATTAGTTAAGAGACATTTATGATGACTGCAATGACAGAAAATTATATGGGGCTGCTTCTTCCAAAACTAGCAACCAGTTTTGACATTAGCTTTACCGTCTGCTGACTTTTAGCAGATAGCCAGGGCCCTGCAGATTCTACCCTTGGAAGCTGAATTGTTTACTTGGAATTTGACTCTCTCCTTGTGCCTCCAATAGGTTCATACATCATGCAACGGAACTTTTTCCTGTCCTAGGCCAAATGTCCAGGTTTCAGGAAAGGGCTGCCCCTTTCTCCATCAAAGAGTAGAGGCTATTTGAGACCTGTGGTGAGATCCCAAGATAGTTGCATGGAAGGAGTTCACTCTCCTTCACATTCAAATGTGTACAAGCCAACACATATCCAGCAAGTTTTCCCAAGAGCAAGAAGCTGCTTGCACTGCAAGACAACCAAGATGACTCTCTCTGTAACAGGAGCAGTTGCTGCAGCTGCTGGAGTATGAGCACACTAACAGCAGTAGTGCTTCCTAATCTACACCTATGAAGGAGCCCTCCATCTTTATTTGTTCCTCTAGTCCCCATAATAGAGCTAGGGTGACAGATTTTAGGTTGTGAACACAATTCACAAATTGTGAAATATGAGAGGTTTTATCTCTATCATACTTGATTTCCTCTTCAGTCACTCCATTCATGTTTATAGAAACATAAAACAAAACTCTTCAGGGAAAATTGATTGTATCTCTGTGTTAATTCTGTAATTTCTTAAATTGTGACAAGAGTAGATTGGGTGATCCTGCAGGGAAGCAGAAATGATACCAGGCTTACTGGTCTGCAAACCACTGTGGTTCATAAAGCACCAGTTGGTGGGCTGTGAAATAACAACAAAGGAAATCTGTCTTTGCATGCTTTAGAGCTACAAGCGGACAGAAAGTGGGAAGGAAATAGGCTCAGCTTTAGTTGCTTGTTTCTGATTTTAATTGGCTATAAATGAAGCCCATTGTGGCAGCATTGCACAATACAATGTGGACCCTTTTCCAGTAAGATCACAGGGCCTTTGCCTTTTTAAGAGAGAGAGAGAACTGAGCACCTCCAATACAGCACACTGAAAGAAATAGCAGTAGGAAATATCCTAGCTTCATTCTTTCTACATTGCAATTTATTCATGATTCATTTTTTAGCCATTCCAGAGAGCTGATGTTCATATGTCACCTCATTCGTGATGGAAAAAGTTGAATATTTCACATATGGGAGTTACTGCTATTCTAAACTTTTGTTCTTCTGTTCTTGTTGAAAGAACAAGGACTATACCTTAGAATGAACCTTCTGTCTCAGATAAAGTGCCTTCATAGCCACTAGTGTTTCCCTAATTTAAAATAATGTAATGAGTGAGCGACCATGCCACACAGGGCCAGATAAGGTCACCCATGCTACAGTCAGCTGCTTTCTACCTCAGACAAGAGATGCATAAGAGAGATAAAGAATCATGTAATTTTTTTCTTTGATTAAGAGAATACTTGCAATATCTGGCTTTCTTGCTTATTTGCAGAGCACCCTGCCATTCTGGAATGCCATTCCAGGAATGGGGGGCAAGGCTGCTTCTGTGCAATCATTGATCTGGTCTTGGCAACTGCCCATTTGGCACTAGAAAGTGCTGAAACACCCAGTTGCTATCTCTGGGATTGTATTGATAATAGCACTGCCTAAAGTTAGGCTGACTTCAGGGCCTGGGAACTTGCCTTGTGTGATAACAGCCACAATGCAAAGCTCTGCAGCAGCATGAATCACCACACAGGGCAGCTAAGTCCCTTCTATTACTACCTCCTGCAGCACATTAGTTTAAAACACCCACTCAGAGCATCCCATTTGTTGACCTGACATAAGAAAGAAATGACACTTGCGGTTATCTTAAATTAACCCCTCCAATTAATGACTGCTCATTCCTGTTTTCACTAAGTGTAATGCCTATGATGTCCCTTGTGCTGGTCTTCTGAATGTTATTCCATCTGTAAAAGAAGATTATAAATGTGTAGATTCTCTTCAATGACTGTAAAATGTATAATTGAAATATAAGAGAACTTTCAACCAGTTGCTCTAGTGTGTTCTTCCTAGGCCATAAATTGCTTTTTAGTGTTTGTACCAGAAGTGGAACTGAAAAGCGTCTGTTCTTATTTCTTGAGTTAACCTTTTTACACATCAGTAAGAATCTTCTGTTTTTTTGGGGTTTTGGGTTTTTTTTTCGGACAAAAATGCAAAATTATTTGCTTGTATGTGGGATTTTTCCCCCTTATATTGGGACACTTTTTTTCCTTTGTTTTTGTAAGAAAAAAGATGATTTGGATAAATACCTAGAGAATGGAAAAATGTCTGGAAACCACTGGCAGCCCTCTTCAATTATGTGACTCATTGTAGCTTGGCTGCCATATCTGTAAAATGGGAACCCTTACTGTTTGGTTCTAAAGCATTTGGAGCACCATGAGAGGAAAAGTCCTCCAGAAATCTTGTTTGGCTGATAAATTAAGATACTGATTGAACTTTTCTCACTTCCCACATGGCAGGGTCACCTAATAAATAAGTGGTCAACATAAGGATGGAAATCTCTTTGGTCTCTCACAGTAGGCCTAATTTCTGTCCTCCCATTCCCCCAGCTGATGCCCTTTGTAGCTCAGTGTTGCAGCCTTTCTGTCTCTCACCCCTGTCTACATGTGCCAAACACAGGTGACAGGACCTACTGGAGACCCAAGGGGCACTTGGAAATAAGGTATGGGAAAACATTCCCTACAGCAGCAATGCAGCCACTTTCTGACTGGGACTGGGGAGCCTTGGGAGATGTTACCACAGCATCTTAAGAATGGTTTGTGTTGGAAAGGACCTTACAAGATCATCTCAACCGCCCTGCCCCTGCCTTAGGCAGGGATACTTTCCACTAGACCGTATTGCTCAAAGCCCCATCCAACCTGGCCTTGAGTACTTCCAGTGTCCACAACTTCTCTGAACAAGCTGTTCCAGTGTCTCACTACCCTCACAGTAAAGAATTCTTCCTTGCTTCCAATCTAAATCTACCTTCTCAGTTTAAACCTGTTTCCCATTCTCATGTCAATACAAGCCTTGGTCAAGTCCTTGTGTTTCTTATAAGAGCCATTTAAGTATTGAAAACTGCAATAAGATCTCCCTGGTGCCTTCTCTCCAGGCTGAACAACAACAGTTCTTTCAGCCTTTCCCCATGGGAGAGGTGTTCCAACCCCATGATCATTTTTTGTGCCTCTCTGGATCCGCCCTAATGGCTCTGCGTTTCTTGGGCTGGG